GCCATCTTTGCCCATTGAACAAGCATTGTGTAGCTGTGGAGGGCCCATTGTGTAGTTTTGCCCTTGGGGTCTCTTCCAATTCTATGGTTCTATGAATCTTCAGAGGGGGTTTCATTACTGAGCAGGTAATTGAACCCTGGTCTCCAGAGTTATAGCCCAACACTCCAACTACTATGCCACGCTACCTCAAGCTTTAATGCATTGCAATAAATGCTGCTAACGCACGACACAGAAAACCTGGTTTTGTCCAACTTTCCTTTGCTATCATCCCAGTGATAGAATTCAGAGATATAGCCATGTTAGTCTGTAGTATATAGTGACATCCTGTAGCATCTTTGAGACTAACTGAAAGAAATTGGCAGCATGCCCTTTCGTAGACTTAAGTCTACTTCCTCAGATGCATTTGGTGGAGACTTCACTTTCATATTGACATGATATACAAACAGTATGTAGAGAGATCTTGCTGCACCTTTGAGACTAACTGAAAGAATAAAGTTGGCAGCATGAGCATATTTAGGTCTGTCCCTGGCTTTCCACTCCACTAAATGCACCTGAGGAAGTAGACTGAAGCCTACAAAAGCTCATGCTGCCAGCTTCTTTCTTTCAGTTAGTCTCAAAGGTGCTACAAGATCTTTTTGCATCCCAGTGTTAATGTCGCTTTGAAAAGTTCCAGCTAGACAGAGGACGAGGAGGAAACATCTGTCTGGGATATAAGGAGGAGCTTTGTTGTCAATGGCTTTGTTATCTGCAGTATTCCTCTATTCTTGAGTCGTAGCAGGGCTTATAAATAGCTCTCACTCGGGGAGGAGCACGAATTGCAGATCTAACCAGAATCTGCCCTCAAGAGATGCTCAGGAGCGAGATCATAGAATCATTGAATCATAGAATCCTAGAGTTGGAAGAGACCCCAAGGGCCATCCAGCCCAACCCCATTCTGCCATGCAGGAACTCTCGATCAAAGCATTCCCAACAGATGGCCATTCAGCCTCTGTTTAAAGACCTTCAAAGAAAGAGACTCCACCAAAATATTTAAAGAGAGCTATCATATCCCCTCTTAGCCGCCTCTTCTCCAGTCTAAACATACCCAGTTCCCTAAGTCCTTCCTCATAGGGCTTCATGGTTTCCAGACCTTTCACCATTTGTCACCCGTGTCCTCCTGTATCCCCTCTGATCTCCTATTTCTCTCTCCTTCCACCTCTTTCT